CAAGTCATCATGGCGGTAACTCTACCTAGAGACTGGAGATCCCAAGAGCTAAGTTCAAAGAGATCAAACAAAGTTATGAATGATGGTTCAACATTGTCAGATAACTCAACCCATTCTCGTGATGAAGACAATGTTCAGAAATCAAGGTAAAGCATTAAGGCTTTTGATGAGTCAATAAAGCTTAAAGCTTTTTAATGATTTTCTAAGTCTGGCAGGATATGACCAGATAGTGTGTCTATAGGATTACACGTTTAGAAATCACCTATGTGAGTGTTAAGTGTAAGCCGCTTTAAGGGGAATGAAAGTAAAGGCCCATTCTCTAAGCACTCATGAAACCAGGCGGTGTTCATGGCTGAAACGAACACAACCGTGAGAACCAAAAACAGTTAAGGGTTAATTGTGTGACTTATGGTTGTCTAGGAATACACCAAAGTTCGACGGTTCAAAGATATCAAATATACCGATTGACCGAGTATATCCGACATAAGTTCACTACGGAAAGTTCAAAGGGAAACCTACTTATCCAGATGCGATTAATCCTTATTTGTGAATCACACAGTATTTTCATGCATATTTTTCCTCATATGACCATTCCCCATTCATGTCAAGTGTGATTTGCTCCGTTTGTTGAGTTCGCTGAAGTTCTGTGATTTGAAGTGCCGCTATCACAAAATAGTTATTCCGTTCTATCCTAGGAGGAATTATCCGTATACCTTGGGCAACAGTGAGGGAATTAAATTTCTTAAGGATACATTGTGCATTCAGTGGGCTCGGAATTATTTTACGATTTGTTTATTGAACTAACGTTTGTTTGCTTCTATAATTTTCTGATTTTGGAAACAGAAATACCAACAATCTTAAGGAATTTAATATCCCAATTTAATACCAGAAATCAAAATTCTTTTTGTTGGCTTATTGGTTTTTGACTGACTATAATAATTTATGCAACTGAAAAGGCACTACTTTTAAGAAATGGTGTAATTAGTGGAATGCGCCGTATCACAAGACTTATTTTAAGCACTCCTTTTGACTTCCAGGCAAATTGGTGGAGCGTTTCATTACTTTAATTCGCATAGAGTTATTAATAGTTTACAAGTCCTTTCCCATAGAAGAATGATCTCTTTTTTTTTCTCCAAAGGCTGGTAGAAGGTTTGAGAAGGGAAATATGTCGGAGACAGAGAGGAATAGTCTCGGCAATAATGATGTTACACTTGAAAGTCAACGTTAATTAAACGCGAAACGAGAGTGACACAAATTATGGCATTACCAATTAAGATCAAGAAATTAGGAAGTATTGCAGTGATAATATGATGGCTTGATCAATTTGACTAATCAATAAAAGGATTAAACAATTGATCTTTTATAATTAGATTGACTCCTGATTATGGGTATTGACAAATCTGGCCAGAATGGTTCATTGGAGAAGCGAAGGGTTATTGAATTCATTATTGAGAAGTCATTGGGTCAATCACCAATAATGTCCGTTTTTTACCGGAAAGATTATACGACACTTCATGTTGCATTCTCTCGAAAGTTGTCATCATGAAATTTAACGGCACAAGGAAAGCAAATCTGGTGCTTTGCCACCACTGTCAAGTTGTTCCTAACAAGGATATGGAACCATTACGACAAGTGCTAATGGCCGGAAAAGTCACAATTTAACCACTGTAAAAGCAAAACAGTGAAGGCGGCAAACTAAGAAGAAAGTGACGATATATCGGGTTCTACCTTCTTTACTCTATTTATGTTTAATTTTCTACCCTTTACGATTTACGATATCTTACTTCCATAAATATAAGGGTAGATGTTTATTATGTGATGATCTCATATTACATATTTAGAATATATGCATGAGTAGGAATAACATTATCACGACCCCAAACCCGGTCGTGATGGCGCCCAACACAACTGCTAGGCAAACCTGACCAATTATACTCTCAACCCGAGCGTAGAGCTCAAAATCATTTATTTAAAAATCATTAACAGCGAAGAAACCAAAATATAGCTGATAGATATAAAACAACCCGAATATCAACAATACAGAGCAACCTCCCAAAGATCTGGGGGTCATGAGTCTAGAGCCTCTACCAGAATAGCATAATAATACTGTAATACTACATAGTCTGAAGTACGCGGATAATCAAATAACAGGAACTAGGGGGAGGAGTCGGGTCCTGCGGACGCCAGACAGCTACCTCGACAACTCCGAATGAGAACTCTGAAGAACAGCAATAAGCTCAACTAGCTCCTGAGGTACCTGGATCTGCACACATGGTGCAGGGAGTAAAGTGAGTACTTCCAACTCAGCGGTAATAGACATGTATAATGACATTGAAAGTAAGAAATCCCGATATACGACAAAGTAAAGCTACAACAGTATTTCTTCACATTTAACAGTGTAACATCAATAAGTATTAACAGATAGAGCAGATAAGGTCCGATGCATGAATGCAATGCAAATGCACATGACCGCTACGGCGCGTAGCCCGATCCATTTGGGTACCCGCGCTCACTGTGGGGGTTCAGACTCCGGAGGGGCTCCTACAGCCCAAGAGCAATATCATAGTAACATACGCTGCGGCGTGCAGCCCGATCCACTATCAGTCCAGCTATATGCATGCAAGCCACACAGGCACAGTCAACTTACCAGTTTTAGTTCCAATTATCAGTAATTATCAATTAGGTGTTTGAAACCTTAGTATTTTGCTAGTCATTTTAGGACAAATGTTTAGCTCAGGACTGATATTATGAAAACATGCTATAAATCACCGAAACAGTGATAATAATCCCTACGGGATACAAATAACCGGCACGCAGCCCAAATATATCCATAACCATCCAAGTAGGAGGTTTACCAGCTAATTTATAGCCAACAACACAGTACAACATCACTCGGGCGGACTAAGCCATAGTCCCCAATCACATTCGACCCCGCACTCACCGTAGAGTACGTGTCTCGCCTCAATATAGCGTCACAGTGTGATATACCGGGGTTTCAAACCCTCAGGTCATCATCCACATCTATTACTCACCTCGAACCGGCCACGAGACTAGTCCGCTAAGCCTTTCCCTCTTGAATCAACCTCCTCGGGTGCCGAATCTGATCAAAACCACAAGGAATACATTAAAATAGGCTAATGGAACATAACCCAATCGAAAGAACTCGAAAAACACCCAAAAACACGAAGTTGGCAAAACCCGAGCCCCGGGCCCACTTCTCGAAAAATTACGAAATTCACATTTCCGGAATCCTCGTCTCACCGCGAGTCCATACATACCAAATACACAAGAATCGGAGTCCATTTGACCCCTCAAATCGCCAATTTAGACTCTCTTAGGCTTCAAGCCCTAACCTCCATTTTTACCCTTTAATTCCTTGAATTTTCAGTGTTTAATCCTTGTTTTTATACCCTAACAACATTATTTGAGGCTACAAGTTCATACCTGATGGAATCTCCTTTGAAATCTCTCCAAATCGCCCAAAATCGCCTCTTCCCGAAGTCCCAAAATGTTTTTCTAACTTCTGAAATTTTGAACCCACTGTTCATTAAACCCTCAGCATTTTTCGCTTCTGCGGTCTCCTGACCGCACCTGCGGTCCCGCTTATGCGGCAAATTGACCGCTTATGCGGTTCTACTTAAACCCACAACGACCGCTTCTGCGGTCTTAAACCGCTTATGCGGTTGCCGCCTATGCGATCCCAATGACCGCTTATGCGGTCTCTACAATAATCCCAGGACCGCTTCTGCGGTCGCTTACCGCATCTGCGGTGTCCGCTCTTGCGGAGAAACTTCCGCTTTTGCGGTAACTGCCCAGGCCCTCAAGGGCCGCTTTTGCGATCTCCCTACCGCATCTGCGGAACCGCTTAAGCGGCTCCTTTTCCGCAGATGCGGAAATACCAGAAGCCTCAAAAATCTGCTGCAACACCAAACATTCCAACTTCCGATTAATCATCCGAATTCACCCCGAGGCCCCCGGGACCCCAACCAAAAACACCAACACATCCTAAAACCTTATTCAAACTTGCTCCAATCCTCAAAACACGTCAAACAACACTAAAACCATTAATTTACATCGGATTCAAGCCTAAGTTTCTTAAAAACTTCCGCAATACGCATTCGATCAAAAACCCGACCAAACGACGTCCGAATGACCTGAAAATTTGCAGACATATCCAAAATCACCCTACGGAGCTACTGCAACTCTCGGAATTCCATTCCGACCCTCGGATCAAAATCTCACCTATCAACCGGAATTCGCCAAAATTCCAACTTCGCCAATTCAAGCCTATTTGTACACCGGACCTCCAAATTCAGTTCCGACTTCACTCCTAAGTCCCAAATCATCCCCCGAAGCTAACCGAACCACCGGAATTCACATCCGAGCCCTCTAACCACATAGTCAACTTCCGGTTGACTTTTCTAAAACAAGCTTCCTTCTAGAGGCTATGTGCCTTATTTTCAACCAAAACCAATTCAATTACACCCGATCAACTCTAATACCGATATTGAAACATGAAGCAACACAATAAGGGGAAAACGGGGCGGTAACTCACGTGACGACGGGCCGGGTCGTCACATCCTCCCCAACTAAAACAAACGCTCGTCCTCGAGCGGGTCAAGAAACATACCTGGAGTCTCAAACAAGTGAGGATATCTGCTCCGCATCTCCCGCTCGGTCTCCCAAGTGGCCTCCTCCACGGGCCGACCTCTCCACTGCACCTTCACTGACGCTATATCCTTAGACCTCAATCTCCGCACCTGTCGACCCAAAATGGCTACAGGCTCCACATCATAAGTCAAGTCATCATCCAACTGAACTGTACTGAATTCCAACACATGCTAGGGTCCCCAACATACTTCCGGAGCATAGACACGTGAAATACCGGATGAACTCCCGATAGGCTGGGTGGCAAAGCAAGCATATAGGCCACCTCTCCAATCCTCCTGAGTATCTCAAAAGGGCCAATGAATCTCGGACTCAGCTTTCCTTTCTTTCCAAATCTCATGACGCCTTTCATAGGCGAAACCTTTAGCAAAACCTTCTCACCCACTAAATAAGATACATCTCGGACCTTCCGGTCTGCATAACTCTTCTGGCGCGACTGGGCTGTGCGAAGTCTCTCTTGGATCACCTTCACCTTGTCCAAAGCATCCTGGACAACTCTGTCCCCAACAACCTGGCCTCGCCGGGCTCAAACCAACCAACTGGAGATCTACACCGTCTCCCATATAAGGCCTCATATGGCGCCATCTGAATGCTGGATTGGTAGCTATTGTTATAAGCAAACTCTGCGAGAGGCAAATAATCAGCCCAAGAACCTCCAAAATCAATCACACAGGCACGCAACATGTCTTCCAATATCTGAATGGTACGCTCGGACTGCCCGTCCGTCTGAGGATGGAGTGCAGTGCTCAACTCTACCTGTGAACCCAACTCTCGCTGAAAGGTCCTCCAGAACTAAGAAGTAAACTGAGTACCTCTATCTGATATAATAGAAACTGGGACCCCATGCAATCTCACGATCTCACGGATGAAAATCTCTGCTAACCACTCCGAGGAATAGGTAGTACATACAGGAATGAAGTGCGCGGACTTGGTCAGCCTATCCACAATCACCCAAACTGAGTCAAATTTCCTCGCTGTCCGAGGGAGACCACTCACAAAGTCCATGGTAATCCTCTCCCATATCTATACGCTGAAACACACCACCGGGCCTCTGATGCTCATACTTGACCTGCTGACAGTTGAGGCACCGAGCTACATGACTCACAATATCCTTCTTCATTCTTCTCCACCAGTAATGCTGTCTCAAATCCTGATACATCTTCGCGGCACCTGGATGGATAGAATACCGCGAGCTATGGGCCTCCTCCAATATCAACTCCCGAAGCCCGTCCACATTGGGCACGCAAATCCAGCCTTGCATCCTCAACACACCATCTCAATCAATAGTCACATCTCTGGCATCATCGTGCTGAACTCTGTCCTTAAGGACAAGTAAGTTTGGATCATCATACTGGCGCTCACAAATGCGATCATATAAGGAAGACCGAGAAACGACACAAGCCAACACCCGGCTAGGCTCTGAAATATCTAACCTCACTAACCGATTAGCCAACGCCTGAACATCAGCTGCAAAGGGTCTCTCCCCAACTGGAATATACGCCAGGCTGCCCATACTAACCGCCTTTCGGCTCAAAGCATCGGCCACTATATTGGCCTTCCCCGGATGATATAAAATGGTGATGTCGTAATCCTTGAGCAACTCAAGCCACCTCCGCTGCCTCAAATTTAGATCCTTCTGCTTAAACAAGTGTTGGAGACTGCGATGATCGGTATACACCTCACAGGACACGCCATACAAATAGTGCCTCCAAATCTTCAAGGTGTGGACTATGGCAGCTAACTCTAAATCATGAATAGGGTAGTTCTTCTCATGAGGCTTCAACTGACGAGAAGCATAAGCAATAACCCTACCCTCCTGCATCAACACACAACCTATCCCAACTCTCGATGCATCACAATACACGGTATAAGAACCTGAAGCTGATGGCAAGACTAACACTGGAGTTGTGGTCAAAGCTGTCTTGAGCTTCTGGAAGCTCTCCTCGCACTCATCCGACCACACGAATGGTGTACCCTTCTGCATCAACCTGGTCAAGGACGAAGCAATAGATGGAAATCCCTGGACAAACCGACGATAATACCCTGCCAAACAAAGAAAACTCCGGATCTCCGTAGCTGAGGATGGTCTAGGCCAACTCTGCACCGCCTCTATCTTCTTTGGGTCAACCTGAATACCATCACTAGACACCACATGTCCCAAAAAAACTACATACCCAAGCCAAAACTCACATTTGGAGAACTTTGCATAAAGCTTTTCCTCCCTCAACCTCTGCAATACTACTCTCAAATGCTGAGCATGCTCTTCCTGGCTACGCGAGTACACCAGGATGTCATCAATAAACACAATCACAAAGGAATCCAGATATGGCCGGAACACGCTGTTCATCAAATACATGAACGCGGCTGGGGCATTAGTCAGCCCAAAAGACATAACTAGAAACTCATAATGCCCATATCTCGTCCTGAAGGCTGTCTTCATGATATCAGAATCTCTAATATTCAGCTGGTGATAGCCTGAACGAAGATCAATCTTCGAGAACACCCTCGCTCCCTGGAGCTGATCAAACAAGTCATCAATACGGGGTAGAGGATACTTGTTCTTTACCGTTACCTTGTTCAACTGCCTATAATCAATACACATCCTCATTGAGCCATCTTTCTTCTTGACAAACAACACTGGTGCACGCCACGGTGATACACTCGGGCGAATGAACCCCTTATCTAAAAGCTCCTGAAGCTGCTCCTTCAATTCCTTTAACTCAGCTGGTGCCATACGATAAGGAGGAATAGAGATGGGCTGAGTGCCCGGCACCAAATCGATACCGAAGTCAATATCCCTGTCCGGAAGCATGCCTGGCAGGTCTGATGGAAACACATCTGGGAAATCCCTCACCACGGGCATAGAGTCAATACTAGGAGTCTCAGCTCCAACATCTCTCACAAATACTAAATATGATAAACATCCTTTCCCAACCATCCGCTGGGCCTTTAAGAAAGAAATCACCCGGCTGGGGACATAATTAGTCGAACCCCGCCACTCGATCCTCGGAATACTCGAAACGGCCAACGTAACTGTCTTAGCATGACAGTCTAGAATAGCGTGGTACGGAGATAGCCAATCCATACCCAGAATCACATCGAAGTCTACCATACCCAACAACAGCAAATCAACTCGGGTCTCCAGATCCCCAATAGTAACAAGACAGGATCGATATACGTGATCCACAATAATTGTATCACCCACCGGGGTGGATACATGCACAGGCAAGGCAAGACAACCACGGGTCGTACCCAGATGATGGGCGAAATATGAAGACACATAGGAGTATGTAGACCCGGGATCAAACAAAACAGAAGCATCTCTGTGGCAAACTGAGATAATACCTGTGATCACTGCGTTAGATGCAACAGCGTCTCTCCTGTCTGGAAGCGCATAGAACCGAGCCTGACCACCGCTCGATCGATCAACACTCCTGTCTGGAAGCGCATAGAACCGAGCCTGACGCCAGGCAGCTACCTCGACAACTCCGAATGAGAACTCTGAAGAACAACAATAAGCTCAACTAGCTCCTGAGGTACCTGGATCTGCACACATGGTGTAGGGAGTAAAGTGAGTACTTCCAGCGGTAATAGACATGTATAATGACATTGAAAGTAAGAAATCCCGATATACGACAAAGTAAAGCTATAACAGTATTTCTTCACATTTAACAGTGTAACATCAATAAGTATTAACAGATAGAGCAGATAAGGTCCGATGCATGAATGCAATGCAAATGCACATGACCGCTACGGCGCGTAGCCCGATCCATTTGGGTACCCGCGCTCACTGTGGGGGTTCAGACTCCGGAGGGGCTCCTACAGCCCAAGCGCAATATCATAGTGACATACGCTGCGGCGTGCAGCCCGATCCACTATCAGTCCAGCTATATGCATGCAAGCCACACAGTCAACTTACCGTTTTAGTTCCAATTATACAATAATTATCAAATTAGGTGTTTGAAACCTTAAAATTTTGCTAGTCATTTTAGGACAAATGTTTAGCTCAGGACTGATATCATGAAAACATGCTAAAAATCACAGAAACAGTGATAATAAGCCCTACGGGATCCAAATAACCGGCACACAGCCCAAATATATCCATAACCATCCAAGTAGGAGGTTTACTGGCTAATTTATAGCCAACAACACAGTACAACATCACTCGGGCGGACTAAGCCATAGTCCCCAATCACATTCGACCCCGCACTCACCGTAGAGTACGTGTCTCGCCTCAATATAGCGTCACAGTGTGATATACCGGGGTTTCAAACCCTCAGGTCATCATCCACATCTATTACTCACCTCGAACCGGCCACGAGACTAGTCCGCTAAGCCTTTCGCTCTTGAATCAACCTCCTCGGGTGCCGAATCTGATCAAAACCACAAGGAATACATTAAAATAGGCTATTGGAACATAACCCAATCGAAAGAACTCGAAAAACACCCAAAAACACGAAGTTGGCAAAACCCGAGCCCCAGGCCCACTTCTCGAAAATTACGAAATTACATTTTCGNGAAATTTACATTTTCGGAATTCTCGTCTCACCACGAGTCCATACATACCAAATACACAAGAATCGGAGTCCATTTGACCCCTCAAATCGCCAATTTAGACTCTCTTAGGCTTCAAGCCCTAACCTCCATTTTTACCCTTTAAATTCCTTGAATTTTCAGTGTTTAATCCTTGTTTTTATACCCTAACAACATTATTTGAGGCTACAAATTCATACCTGATGGAATCTCCTTTGAAATCTCTCCAATCGCCCAAAATCGCCTCTTCCCGAAGTCCCAAAATGTTTTTCTAACTTCTGAAATTTTGAACCCACTGTTCCTCAGCATTTTTCGCTTCTGCGGTCTCCTGACCGCACCTGCGGTCCCGCTTATGCGGCAAATTGACCGCTTATGCGGTTCTACTTAAACCCACAGCTTCTGCGGTCTTAAACCGCTTATGCGGTTGCCGCCTATGCGATCCCAATGACCGCTTATGCGGTCTCTATAATAATCCCAGGACCGCTTCTGCGGTCGCTTACCGCATTTGCGGTGTCCGCTCTTGCGGAAACTTCCGCTTTTGCGGTAATTGCCCAGGCCCTCAAGGGCCGCTTTTGCGATCTCGCTACCGCATCTGCGGAACCGCTTAAGCGGCTCCTTTTTCGCAGATGCGGAAATACCAGAAGCCTCAAAAATCTGCTGCAACACCAAACATTCCAACTTCCGATTAATCATCCGAATTCACCCCGAGGCCCCCGGGACCCCAACCAAAAACACCAACATGTCCTAAAACCTTATTCAAACTTGCTCCAATCCTCAAAACACGTCAAACAACACTAAAACCATTAATTTACATCGGATTCAAGCCTAAGTTTCTTAAAAACTTCCGCAATACGCATTTGATCAAAAATCCGACCAAACGACGTCCGAATGACCTGAAAATTTGCAGACATATCCAAAATCACCCTACGGAGCTACTGAAACTCTCGGAATTCCATTCCGACCCTCGGATCAAAATCTCACCTATCAACCGGAATTCGCCAAAATTCCAACTTCGCCAATTCAAGCCTATTTCTACACCGGACCTCCAAATTCAATTCCGACTTCACTCCTAAGTCCCAAATCATCCCCCAAAGCTAACCGAACCACCGGAATTCACATCCGAGCCCTCTAACCACATAGTCAACTTCCGGTTGACTTTTCTAAAACAAGCTTCCTTCTAGAGGCTATGTGCCTTATTTTCAACCAAAACCAATTCAATTACACCCGATCAACTCTAATGCCGATATTGAAACATGAAGCAACACAATAAGGGGAAAACGGGGCGGTAACTCACGTGAGGACGGGCCGGGTCGTCACAAACATGAATTTACGGTTAATTTGTTATTCCTTTGACTATATGAAAAACTATTAGTAGTTGATATATAATTTGGTAACATGTATAAATTATGTGGAAGATTATTTTCAATGTTGTAAGATACGAATTAGACTTACATTGGTACTTGAAAGTATTCTTGAGATCATGAATATAATATATGTAAAGATGAATATATATGTGTTTGATTAGAGAAATAGATCAAATTGTTTAAAGTGTTATAATGGTTTAGTTGAAAAACCACTTGGAAAGGGAATTCAAATTCTCGTGATTTTATACACCCGTTATGGAGAATAAATCTTCGTGATTTTCTACTCCTGCTTCGAGATCAAAATCTGCGTGATTTTGTACTCGTTCATTGAGAGTAAAGTCTTCGTGACTTTCTACTTATTTGTCAAAAATTAAAGTCTAAGTGACTTTATATTCGTGATACTCTACTCCAATTTATTATTCGGTTTGAAGATTAAAAACTTCACCGTTTATTAAATTTGATTATGTCACATATTAATCGGTTTGAAGATTAAAAACTTCACCGTTTATTAGATTTAGTTGTATCAGATGTTACTCGGTTTGAAGATTAAAAACTTCACCGTTTATTAATTCTGAATGTGTCAGATTGGTTTGAAGATTAAAAACTTCACCATTTATTAATTCTGGCTATGTCGTGACAAAAACAACAATTCTTATGGTTGGCTCTACAAAGCAATAGAGGCGGCGTTTGAAGAAATATGTTTGGAATATGGCATTATTCACCAAACGACTACCCCTTCGTAAGCGCAATCTAATGGAATTGCGGAAAGAATGAGTAGAACGTTAAAGGAGATGATGAATGCCTTGTTGATAAGTTCTGGTTTACCCCAAAACTTGTGGGGGGAAAGTTATTTTTTCAGATAACCGTATACTCAGTCAAGTTCCCAATAGCAAGACGCAATCCATTCCATAGGAAAAATGGAATGGAAGGAAGCCCAACTTAAATATTTTAAAGTGTGGGGGTACTTAGCTAAAGTGCAAGTTCCTAAACCCAAAAAAAAAGTAAAGATCGGACCGGAAATTATTGATTGCGGTTTTATAGGATATGCAACAAATAGTAAGGCATATCATTTTCTGATTCATAAATCAGAAAATCCCGACATTCATATTAATACGGTAATCGTATCAGATAATGCTGAATTCTTTAAGAATATTTATCCATATAAAAGAAATGTGAGTCGTCTTGTGAAATATCTAAGCGACCTCGGGAAGAAGCAAAGGAAAGTACGTTTGATAAGGAAAATCCAAGACGTAGTAAACGTCAAAGGACAGTTACTTCCTTTGGACCAGATTTTCTGACATTCTTGTTAGAAAGTGAGACTCAAACATTTAAAGAAGTAATGTCTTGCTCGAAAGCACAATGTTAGAAAGAGGTCATCAATAGTGAGATAGAACCCATAGGAAGTAATCATACTTGGGAATTGCTTGATCTTCCTCCAAATAAACCTTTGGGTTCTAAGTGGATTTTCAGAAGGAAAATGAAAGCTGATGGTACTATTGACAAATATAAGGCAAGATTGATTGCCAAACGATTAAGACAACGAGAAGTTCTTGATTACTTTGACACATACTCATCGGCAACGAGAATTACATCTATTCGGATGGTAATAGCGTTAGCCACCGTGTATGGCCTTGAAATCCATTAGATGGACGTAAAAGACAACCTTCTTAAATAGAGATTTGGAGGAAGAAATTTATATGGAACA